GCAGCCTCGACCCGCTGGGCTCCAGCGATCCTTCCGCCTCAGCCTTCTGAGTAGCCGGAATTGCAGGCATGCGCTACCACGCCCGGCTGATTTTTTGATTTATTGTAGAGATGAGGTCTTGCCAAGTTGCCCAGGCGGGTCTCGAACCCACGGGCTCAGGCAATCCACTCACCTCAGCCTCCCAAGGCGCGGGATTACATGCGGAGACACCAAGCCCGGCTTACAAAAATCTTTTAACATCATGTGTTTTTTAGCATTTATTTTCTTTGTGACTTCATGTTCCATTTTTGAAGTTCACAGTCACGCCTTATTCAAGACTTTGCTTTTTGGCAGCACATACATTTGTGAGCAGTTGTTTTCAATTATGAAGCACATGAAGAGCAGAACTTGAACAAATGTTTCTGACAAGCACCTTGAGCGCTCACTAAGAATTGCAACCCCTTCCATCAAACCGGACATTGATTGATTCGTTGTACAAAAACAAGGTCAAATTTCCTACTAGTTCTATATTCTCATTTTTCTAAACTTTATAATAAAAAATATATTGAAAAAGAAGTCTTCTTATGTATATACACTATATTATATAATTTATGTGTGGCCCCAGACAATTCCTCTTTACTCTGTGTGACCCAGGGAAGCCAAATGATTGGATATTCTTGCCCTAGAGATTATATTATACATCTTTGACTTATTAAAGTCTGATAGTAATTTGTGTTAGATCACTAACCTCATTCATCTCCTCCTGACTTATAAATTATAGCTGTCATACGTTTGATTCTCAGTATAATTTTAAACCCATGAAACCTTTTTTTAGTGTTCATTTTTTATTTTTGCCATTCCTACTTTTTATTCCTTTCTGTATCTCTGAGCACCCACATATGGTCATTTTCCTTCTAAATGAAGAACACTTGAGTATTTCCTGTAGTCACATTTGCCAGTAATGAATGCACTCAGCTTTTACCTGAAAAAAATCATGTTTTCTTTGCCTTCATTTTTGAGAGGTATGTCTGCTAGACATGGGATTCCAGGTTGGCAGTTGTTTTCTGTCAGCTCTTTGAAAGTGTAGCCTTGTAGTCCTGTCCTACCTTGGTCCCATGTATCATGTCCTCTCGGCCCACCTCCATTTCTCCTGCAGGTCATACAGAGTTATTTATGTGACTTCTGACATCACATTGGTCCTGTTCCCCACACGTGTGTCCTACAAGACTTTCCTCTTTCCGCCTCAGGGCCTTTGCTGATTCTACTGGAGGCCGCTTCCTATCCTTTGGGTAGATCATTTGGGAGGGCTGAGCGGCTTTGAGCCCCTGTTGCTTCTACCCTCAACAGTGGGCCCTTCGTTGGGATCCTTTGCTCTTTCACCCTCTCCACTCCCTTGCTCCTACTTTCTGGGGTCACCTTCTAAATAAACTCTGCTACTCCAGACTCTGCATTGGAGGGGAACTCAGACTTCAAATATCTGGCATCCATAGTCTCAGTCATGACTGTCTCACTGTCGTTCTTTTAAAGGTAATATGCATTTTCCTCCCATTGCTTTTTTTAAGTTTTTCTCATTGTCTAGTTTTCAGTAGCTTTCCAGTGGTACGTTTTGTATCTTTCTTTGACTGACTTCTGCTTCTTGAATCTGTAGCTTGATATTTTTTTGATTTTAGAAAACTCCTAGCTCTTATGTCTTCAGATATTTCTTTTGCCCTATTCCCTTGCTTCCTCTTCTAAGATCCAAGTCCTTTTATTAGACTTTTCATATGTCCCACATGTCTTTTTCAACTTTTTGTTTCCTGTATTTTTTTCCTTTCAGCATTTTGATCTATTTTCTGTTCAGATTTTTTCTTGCTGTTTTTCTTCATTTCCCCTTCACTGATTTTTTAAAACCTATTTCCCATTCATTGAGTTCTTAATATTTATTTTATAGTATTTTACAGTTCTAGAATTTAAATTTGGCTCTTTCAAAAGTATTTTTCAGTACTCTTCCAAAATGTCAGTCTTGTTGCGTTCATTGACCACTGTTGTCTGAAAGTCCATGTCCAATAACTTCATTATCTAGATTCTCTTGGACCTATTTCCATCATCTGTTTCTTTTGGTTCTCAGTCACTGTGTCCTGTCCCTTCATGTGCCCAGTTCCACGCAGTACTCGCTACAGCAGTTCTCTCAAGATACAGGGCTTTGGAAACCTGTCTATTCCCAGCTGTAAGTGGTACAGGAGGATCATCATAGCAGAGATTCTAAAGGCAGAGTGTGCGTTTGTTACTACTTTATTAGAGACAGATATCAGCAATAAAATAGATGTATACTCGTTTATTTCTTTTAGGTCCATCACTGGGCATTCCATGAAAAAAAACTACTGAAGAAAAGGTTCCTGGAGCCTCTTCATTGAAGTGACCTAGCAGGTTAGATTATTAAGGACAAGTTTTCACACTTTCATAAACTTTTCTTTTGATAGCAATATTGGTACGAGTTGCTCTCCACTGGATGGGCTTACCATGCAATACTCTGAGCAGAATGGAATTGTGGATTGGAGGAAGCAGAGCTGCACCACCATTCAGCACCCAGAGCACTGTATGACTTTAGCTGACCAGGTATGTGGGGTTTTATTTTGTTTAGGTGATTATATGTAGTTAAAGTATTGCTGCTCTGTTTTTAAAAATTGAGTTCTGTAAGCATTCTGTCAGATAGTATATCTGGTATGAAAAAATGAAGGAATGTTTAAGTGTTAAACTTTATACTCAGTTGGTATACTTAGATTACTTCTGTTGCTCATATAAAATTACTACACATTCATATGACACCTCTAAAATGTTTATTCCAGTGAAGTATATTGAATTTGTTAGGCCAGATATTTTTGGTCTTGAAATAATTACTCACATTTCAGTCACTTGTGTTGCTATTGGTACTGTAAATTTTCAAACTGACCTTTCATCATGTGAGTAGTTCGGCCAGTTTGCTGGCACTTTACAGTGTAATTAGGGAACATTTGCTTTCTTAGGAACTGGGTGTGATCAAAGAGCAGAATGCTCCCAAGTATGTTTAGTATCCTATGGCACCACAGATAGAGGGTGAAGTACCTATATATGTTGCAAGTATGGAATGAGCCTTCTATCTAGAAAGTCGATTTGGTAGCCTTGTTTTGTCTCTGGCCAACTGAAATGCGTATATATACACTAAGCATATTTTGATACATTGTTTCAGTCATATTTAATGACCTATTTTTAAAGCTCACGTGATTGTCCTCTCTCTACTCCATTGCCTACATCCTCTCCTCTTAGTGTTGTGACAAAACTGTGGTGGTGTCAGTTTTACCAACTGAACTTTAAGAAAATATTATTAAACCTGTAAAAAATAACAGTCACTTGGTGGTGTTTTATTCTGTAGTCAGAAAAAAGAATGCTGATCCACTTTAAAAGAAAAATAGAATACAAATATTTTTCTCATAATTAATACAGTATTAAGAATTAGTCACAGAATATATAAATGTTAATGATTAGGGTAGACGACTTCAACAATAGGTTGGAAATAAAAATTTGCTAGAATATACTACTGGGAATATCTATCATTTAAATTTGTTATCAGAATAAAAGGATACCTACATCAGGCTGGTTTAGTTTTTATCTGTCTGATTTTTCTTTCTACTAGCATTCTGCTGAAAAACGAAGCTTATCTTCAATAAACAAGAAAAAAGGAAAACCACAAATAGAAAAGTAGGTTCAATTTAATGTTTCTAGTAATAGAAATTGGTAAGAAAAGGCTGCACGTGGCATTTGATTATGGGCATATTTAGTTTAGTATAAATATTTTTTAAGTTAGATTTAATTCTGGACTTTGTTTTGCTAAAATATTAACATATTTAGATGACAAAAATAAAGCTATTGTCAAGTACTGTCTTCAGTTTGGAGGGGTTAAAACTAAGAGCTTTACAGTCAAGGGTGAATCTTAACTTGCATTTAAATTTCTCCTTACTAAAAATGATTAATTATTAAAAAGAAAAATCTTGAGAGGAATTTTGCTTAATACAGTACTTAATATGTTTGGTAGAGAACCTTATAAAAATGTTGATAATGTGTACATTTGGTTTAGGGAGAAAATAAAGAAAGCAGACAACCGATTGAATAGTAGAATGAATGGAATTAGACTTTCCACTTCCCAGCATGCCCATGGTGGTACTGTGAAAGGTAAGAAAGTCCAGTTTTCTTTCAAATACTCATGACCTAAATCTATTCAGCATGATACTTACTATATTACTAATATTGAGCTGTCATATCAGATCCTATTGTAATTTTACCTTGCATTGATGTGTATAGCAGTTTTCAAAATGAACAGTTCTGAAGTCAGCAGAGTTGACGCAGGGAACGTAGTCCAGCCATGGTGGTGAACATCCCCAGTGGCCTCCTCCTGCCCCTTCCTCTGGCAGCAGCAGTCTCCTGGTTTGTTCCTTCTTGCATCAATGCCTCTTCAGAGCAGACAGGTCCCAAAGGCATGGAGGAACTTTCCTATGACTTTACAGGCCACCCTCATGGCTTTCTGGATGTGTTTTCATGCAAAGTAAATTTTTAGAATATTGTTGACTTTTTCATGACTTTGTAACTGTCCTTTATGGGCCAGGCACGATGGCTCAAGCATGTAATCCCAGCACTTTTGGAGTCTGAGGTGGGAGGATTGCTTGAGCACAGGAGTTCAAGACCACTTGGGCAACATAGTGAGACCTTGTCTTTAAAAAAAACAGTTAGCCAGGTGTGGTGGCACACATGCTATTCAGGAGGCTAAGGTGGGAGGATCACTTGAGTCCAGGAGTTGGAGGCTGTGGTGAGCTGTGATCATGCCACTACACTCCAGCCTGGGTGACAGAGTGAGACCCTTGACTCAAAACAAAAAACTGTCCTTTATGAAGTTTTATGAAGCTTTAGGGGAATTCTGATCCTTAGTATTTTGTTGTACTAGATTTGTATTGTTTCTGTTTACTATTATTTTAATGTCCCTTTATTTTTAGGTCCCAGGTTCATTTGACTGAGAAAAGCCCATTCTGAAACTTCATTGATTAGTGTCCTATATTTTACTTACCTTTACTATTAATAGTAAAGATTTAAAAAGGAAAAAAAGCCCACAGACCTCTAGAAGAATGTTTTCTCCATGTGTGCCCAAGTAATCCCATAAATACAGATATTTAAATTTAAATTTTATTTTATTTTAAGTCAGGGTCTCATTCTGTTATCCTGCTGGGCTCAAGCAGCCCACATACCTTGGCCTCCCAAAGTGCTAGGATTACAGGTGTAAGCCACTGTGACCAACCTTCCATTTTACTCTAATGTTAATATATCCCAGTGTGATGTAATATATAAGTAACCAGAATATATTTCTTAAAGGGAGTATATTTTAAAGCTAGATATTTGTATAGAGAGACTGACTTGTGATGAAAGAAAAATTTATTACCTTTTAAATCTGAAATCATCTGACCAACTCATGGAATCAGCTGAACTGAAAGGGGAATGACATGAAAAACTCATCTCACCCATATAAGGATCTAATTCCAGGCGCATTTTGTAGCACTTTAGTATCTCTGAGCTGTGGTGATGGCAGCTACCTAGAGGAAAAGCAAAAAAAGACCAAAAGCTCTATCGCTGGACAGTTGGAAATCACTTCTGCTAGGTTTCCCTGCCTCTGGTCTTTCCCCTTCTGCTCATTTTCCTTGCTGCTGTCATATTTGTCTTCTAAAGCACTTACTTGATTGGCTGCCTTTCCCAGTGAAGCTCCTGTCAAGTGTATGCCAAGTGTATACCACGCTCCACAAAATCACTCTTTTTTCTCAGGTTGTTGAGAACTGCTACCCACCATAGAAGTTGACAACATCTTTCCCTTTTAGCCTCATGTTTCCAGAGGGGAAGCACGTGTACTTTGATGAGAGACAGCTGTGGTTTGAATCTTGTACTCCCCTAGTTTCTTAAACACACAGCGTCTCTGAGGCCTGTGTTTTCTCATTTGTAAAACAGGAATAATGCCAGCATCACCAGATTGTGAGAATTCAGTGGGAAAACATAGGAAAAGGATTTAGTCAGTACCAAGTACTCAGGTCTTCGATACAGTAATTTAGTTTCTTCTCCTTGTTCCAGTAAGTTAGAAGAAAGCATACACGGTATAGGTTATTAAGAACTGGTTGACAATACCCCAAGTTCTAATTCCTTTTTTCCTCAATTTTGAAATAGTATTATGAAAATAACCTCAGGGCCGGGCTCGGTGGCTCAGCCTGTAATCCCGCGCCTTGGGAGGCCGAGGTGAGTGGATTGCCCAAGCCCGCGGGTTCGAGACCCGCCTGGGCAACTTGGCGAGACGTCATTTCTACAATAAATCAAAAAATTAGCCGGGTGTGGTAGCGCGCGCCTGTAATTCCGGCTACTCGGAACGCTGAGGCGGAAGGATCGCCAGAGTCCAACAGGTTGAGGCTGCGGGGGCCCGGGAGTGGCCGCCTGCACTCCACTCTGGGCGACAGAGTGAGACTCCAACTCAAAAAAAAAAAAAAAAGGAAAGAAAATAACCTCAGAACCTTACTTATTCTAACTATTTTTTCTTCTCTGTAGGTCACCAATTCATATATAGTTACATTTATAGAGTATGACTATGAATGAAATGGACTTTGCATAGTTGGTTACACCGATGTCAAATGTGGCTCAGATATATGCTAATTCCAATTTTAAAAACTCCTGTTTATTAAATTTTAAATATTATGTCACCAAGAAGGAATTGCCTTTAAGCATTTAGTAAACTCAAGACATGTTTAAAGTTTTTTTTTTTTTTTTAATGGAAAAATAGCTCATGTCATAAAATGTAGATAATATATTGAAGTTGAAAATATTGGGTCCTTCTGATTAGTAGATTGTTCAGATCTTTAAATAATGCAATCTATTCTAGCTCAAGATGTGTATTATTTTAATTTTTTAAAATTACCATTAATTTTAAATTTTAATTTCTATTTTGAGTATTAAGATACTCATGTAGCCCAAAATTCCAAAAGAGAACAAAATGGAGATCCTTCCCTACCTTCTTCCATGTTGTCTCCTTCCAGGAAACAGCCAGTGCTGTTAGTCATCTGTATTCCTTGCAAACTTGTCTCTCTTCTGGAGAGATGTGTACATTATCTGAGGTCCATCATTAAGAATGCTCCCTGCTCTAGTTGATCACCCAGCATTTCTTTCACCCCGCTCTTCCGTTACTGATTGTGGCACCAAAAAGTTTTGGGGGAAATTACGTGGTTGACCTCTCATTTTCTTTTAAAAAATGTAGAATGATCTAAAAGATCTCCAGCTTCCTTAATATTCCAGATGATGGATGTGATTCTATCACCTGAGATTTCTCTGAGAGGTTCTAAACTCTGTAATAGATTCTGTTGTTTATAATTATCCATAACCAGTATTTTATTATTAGAATAGTGGCTGATGGTTTAAGGTTTTTGATTTTTGTCTTCTTCATGTACAAGACCTTTTCCCATTTGAGACATGACAAAAATTTAAAAGTTTGTATCTCTTTTTAAAAGTACAATTTGTGGAGTATACTTGGGCATGTTTTATCCTCTGTGCACACCTCCTGAATCTATAGGATCACATAATTTCTGATCATAAAAGTTCTCAAGTTTCTACACAATTCTGAAGCACCTTGTGAATCATCAAAAAGAAAAGATTGCATTTTGTATAGACTTAGATTTATATATATAGTTCTTTGAAATCTGCCAATTTGGTGATTAGAATATTCACTAACTAAAACAATGTAAAGAAAATATTTCTGTAAAGTACACTATTTGGAAAGAGCTCCTTTTTTTTTTTTGAGTCGGAATCTCACTCTGTCGCTCAGACTGGAGTGCAGTGGCCGCTCCCGGCCACCACAGCCTCAATCCGCTGGGCTCCGGCGATCCTTCCGCGTCAGCCTTCCAAGTAGCTGGAATTACAGGCGTGCGCTACCACGCCCGGCTCTTTTTTTAAAATTTATTGTAGAGATGAGGTCTTGCCAAGTTGCTCAGACGGGTCTCGAACCCGTGGGCTCAGGCAGGCCACTCACCTCAGCCTCCCAAAGGCGCAGGATTACAGGCTGAGCTACCGAGCCCGGCTGAGCTCCTTTTTTAGAAATTCTGAAACTCTTAAGTTTCATAGACTTCACTGTAATTTCACTGTTTGAGTTTTGGTGAACATTATCCCAGTGGTTTCCTTTTAATACATTACTTCTGGTTTGAGAATATCCTATGGAATCTGTGATCCTCTTAATCCTTGGATAGTTCATTTTGCTATGTGCTGGCTGAAATATTTCTATGCAGGATTTTCATATGTGCTACAGTTCTATAGATTTCATCTTCATTCGTGCAATTTAATGCCAGCTTGCTTGGCCACTGTGGCGCGTCAGAGTGTCTTCAGGCAGCCATTGGTATCGACTTGCTTCCCTTTCTTAAGTCATGTGACTTGTAATTCAGAGCCTGCTACTATGCAAGTGCAATACAGATGCTTTTTTATAAAATTATTACTTTCCTATGTAACTTTTCTGCCACTGTTCCTATAGCCTCATGAAATTTTATACAATTTTCCCTTGGCAGTCTGACATTTAATTTATACTCCAAAGGAATTAGTAACATCTGCATTCTTAAAGGGGGCTTTATTTTTCTTCAGTATTCATTCAACATTTGAGTGGCTGGGCTAATCTGGGTCATCTTTAACAGTCATTGCACAAATCATGTCTTTTTCTGACACACATTTTGCCCAGGTGACTAATACTCATTATCTTTTACTGGTTCTGCCGAGTTGCCATGGAAATGATTTACTCACCTATATAGTTCTTAAGAACTCTCTGGAATCTCTTATGTGGGGATTTATACTGCAAACATGTATTGAATACTTGCTGTAAGACAGAAGCTGTACTAGCTGCTGGGTTTACAGAAATTAATAAGACAGACCTCTAAATCTGGGCCAATGTATGATTGTCGTATTGCTCAAAATAGATATAGCTAGTTGATCATGGCAGGTATTGCACCCCACCCCCACATCACCTCTTTGTAGGCATGGCCTTTGGGCAGAATTCAAAGTACTCCTCAGTCTACTAGAAGGGAAGCATTTTGTTCTTTTATATACTCAAACCAAGTAATTTTAATTGAATAGGCATTTTGACAACCCATTCTATTCTTGAGTTCTTTTAAAGAATGAATTTTCCGGCAAGCGCTGATGAGTTAAAATATCTAGAATTTTAGAGTGGTTCAAAATGGTATTGGACAGATCCTACAAAGAACCTTAACTCTTACTTTTTATTTTTTGAAGTCAGTAAGATTGACTTGTTCTTTTGTGCCTTTGTCTTAAGGATATATTTATCAATTATTTTCAGTTAAAATTATGACTTAATGAATTTTCATCTAGATCAAGGGCAAGCTTTTTAGGTGGTTGTAAGAAAACTGAAAAAAATATTTGTAGCTAAAACTTTTTTTTTTTAATTTTAATGATATGGGGTACAATTCAGGTTTAGGTATACAAATGCTAAAACTAATTTCTAATGGGTCAGTTTAGAAATTAATTTAAAACTACTTAACATGATTTTTAAAAGTAGAGTTGTTATTTCTAGATGTGAATTTGGACATTGGATCAGGACATGACACATGTGGAGAAACATCTTCGGAGAGTTACAGTTCTCCATCTAGTCCACGACATGATGGAAGAGAAAGTTTTGAAAGTGAAGAAGAAAAAGACAGAGGTTTGCTCTTTGAAGGGGCTATAGGGAAAGGTGGGGTGGGAGGATGGGGCAGGATGAGGGAAATGTGTGTTGTATCTTCCAATCCCACAAGGAGTTTTATGTTCCTTATAAATACCATTCACTGATTTTAAGTTTAACTGGTGTAAAAGGTGTCTCATAAGCCTTTGTAATTCCTAGCAAGGTTTATTTTATAAACTTATTTCATTGCATATGAAATTAGATAGGAGAACATAGGATCATAACAAAATTAGAATTAGTATAGAAAGATTGAAAGTATGTATGTCTGTTGATAGATGCATATATATTTATACTTTTTATGTCTTCTTGGTTGATTGGTCCTTTTATCATTATAAGATATCCTTCTTTGTCTCTGGTAGCAATTTTGATCTTAAAGTCTATTTGTCTGATGTTAATAAAGCCATTCCAGCTCTCTTTTGCATAATACTATTTTTTTCTGTCCTTTTACTTTAAGTTTGTTTGTGTCTTGCGATCTAAAGTTTGTCTCTTGTAGACAACATATAGTCGATTTTTTTGTAAAAAATCTATTCTGCTGATCTCTGCCATCTGTCCATTTACATGTAATGTAGTTACTGGATAAGGTAGGGTTTACATCTGCCATTTTGTTGTTTTCTGTATGTGTTTTGTCTTCAATTCTTCCTTACGTGGAGGTTTAAAGTCAGCAAGTAGCAAGCTTATGGCCTTCTCATGTCTTTCATCAAAACACACACAACCCCAGGCATGTGCATGGCTTCTGAATTCCCAGAAATATATCAGAGTTTTCCAGAGCCATCTGTGAACATCTCATTTCCCAGTTTTTCATTTAAAATTTTTTGATGAGCCTCTTGTTAGCCCCAGCTGGTAGTGTTAAACATTTGCCACTGATTAATTTTGACAAATGTTTTGTGAGAGGCTGTAACAAGTCAAATAGTGAGTTCTTTGTTAATTGGGCTTTGGGGGAACTCCAAACCCATATTCCATAGTTGAAGGTCTGTTAGTTTAGAGGTCTACTTCAGAGATGAAGAAAGGGGGAATGGGAGCTGGATAAGGGGAAGATGCCATGAGGCTTTCTCTTCTTAAAGATTGAACTGTTTTTCTTGAATAAAAACTCCTTCGATTGCTATAAGCCTTTAGTTAATTTCCAGAGTACTGAAAAAGTTAATTTTTGGCAGTTTTTGCTAGGGTTCTCACTGCTTTTGTGGAGAGTAGGCTAGGCTGTTAGCGGTTCTTACGCTACCATTCTGGTAGCATAAGAAGTGAAATCTTTAAAATGTGCGCATGGAATGAGAATGTCATTCTTTGTGCCTGATAACAACATCTGATTGGTAACACCTTGCTCATATGGTGTACCCAGGCTGGTGGGCTACGTGTATCAAGTTAACTCTCTTGTGCCGTCTTCCAGTTGGTAGCGATGTTAGACTGCGGCATTTCAGCCAAGTGTGATTTCTTCCTGGGCAGACTACAGCTCTCTGGGACCTTAGCTTCTTTCTGTCATGGCATCAGGTCATATCTTAGGGAACTGTGTAGTAGTGTTGCTCCATCACATAGAATTAAAGCCAGTCTTTACTTGGCAGTTACTTTGTAGTCATATCAAATGTAGCATGCAGTGATGCTGCCACCAGCTCTACTAATCTGAGGCAACACTGCACTTGTGGTCAGCAGTTTCCCCATGAAAGAAAAAAATGAAAATAACCTCACACTGAGATATTAGGAAGTTTAAATGAGAGACTTGTTATGCCTTACCCTGAATGGACAAGCTTTCAGTATGCTTCTTGCAGATGTGCTTGATTTCTCTAGGCTGTACAGATAACTTTTGTGGCTCTTTGGCTTACACTGAAGATTTGGTCATGTGTCAGAAGTGTTAGAGAGTACACTTGAATACTTGGTTAGCTTTGCAGCATTCCTTTCCTGTCATCAGGTAGCATGAGTTGGTGGCCTCTGTGGAATAACTTGCCCTTTTTCCAAATAGGTTCAAATAGTTATTAAGTGGCAAAATGGGCCTTCCCTAAGTGAAAGAACCACTTAGGGCTCTCTCACACCAGGGAAAATACTCACTGTGACAGAGACCTTTGATCATTTTTAGAATTTCAAGTGGTTGAAAATTCTAAACTGTGTTGAGAAGCACACCTGTGGCTTTGCTGCTGTTCTCCTGGGTTGTGATGGTGTTCTTGGGGGGCTTTATGCTTTCCAAAGTCAGTGCAAAAAAGGACAAGCCCTGTCTTAACATATCTAGATGAGTCCTTACAGTGCTCAAGAAAACCATCTGAGACCATTGAAAACTGTGGGGCCATTTCCTCTGCTTTAAGATTTAAACATGTAGAAATGTAACTAACAATCTGAAAAATGCCTCAGCTTCTTTTAGACTTATGTTTTTATCTTTAACTCTGTGCTGGTGTGATGGTACAGATAAAATGCTTTAAATAAGTTATTGGGTTTTGGATGCTTTGTTTTGCAAAGTTAAGCAATAAATACCCCAATTATTAATCTACTAGGGGAAGTTTCTGCCATTATCATTCACTCATTAATTGGATTTCTTCTAATTTAATTTAAAATAGTGGAGTTAATAACTGTTGATTTTCTGTGTCAATAAGTAGATTTTATTTAACCGTTTTTCAGAAAGACTAGCATGTTTTAGTATTGTTTTTAAAACTTTTACTGTCTTAAGCTGAATATAGCCAGTTCTTACCTTAATAAATATAAATATTTTAAGTACTTAGTGCCATTCTGCTTATAGTTATGAATTTATGAACAAAAAAACTTAAAATAGGCACTACATTTATTTATCTATTAATTTATATAAATAATAGAAATTTATTTCTCACAGTTCTGAAGCCTGGCAAGTCTAAGATCAAGGGCGCTACATTTAATTGAATGGTTTGTGTACACATGTGTTCAGTATCTGGATTAATGATGTTTAAACATTTTAAATTAGATTTTCTCCTTTGTCCCTTTTATACCAAAAGTCAGAACATCCAGGGGAAGGCTAGAATGAAGTTATGTCCCTATCCAAGCATGAGAGTAACACAGTAGTGGAAGCAAATACAGTACAGTTCATATCTGCCATTTTGCTGTTTTGATTTTAGAGAAATGGCAGTGGTTTCATATTTCCCTGCTTCTTGTGTTCTAGTATATTCATTTTATGATTAATGACAGCTTTATCTTTCCCCATTGAAATATTTAGTAATAAGAATTTATTTCATTCTTTAAAAAATCAAAAAACAAAACTCGTTCCCTGAGACAGTTGAAGACCTTGGGTTTGGCAGTACAGAATATAAATCAAGTGGATTGCCTAAGATTGATTAAGGTTAAAAGGTCTGATACTTTTCTTAGTCTCTGTGCTTCATTGAGTATCCAATTAACCTTTTTATTTTTGTTTGGATTTTTGTTTCTATCCCCATATTTTAAAAATAGAGCGCATATCGGTTGACACATGTCCTGTGAATAAGTCAAAATTTAGAAGGAGGTCAGTTAGGCAGTCAGGAAACATGGTGCAGGAATACATTTCACACCTCAAAGTTAGTTGTAAATATACTTAAATTTTATTTCCAGCAAGAAAGATGGGAGTTATGCTTGTGTTAATATCTATTTGTATTTGTTTTCTTTAGACACAGACAGCAATTCTGAGGATTCTGGGAATCCATCAACAACTAGGTTTACAGGTTATGGTTCTGTCAACCAGGCTGTCACTGTCAAGCCACCTGTTCAGATTGCTTCACTAGGAAATGAGAATGGAAGCCTTTTAGAAGATCCCTTGAACTCGCCCAAGTATCAGCATATTTCTTTTATGCCAGCTTTACACTGTGTCATGCACAATGGTACCCAGAAGTCTGAAGCTGTCGTTCCTACACCCAAATCTGCTGATGGCAAAACAATAGGGATGCTTGTTCCTAGTCCTGTTGCGATTTCTGCAATAAGGGAGTCCACAAATTCAACCCCTGTTGGAATACTGGGGCCGGCAGCTTCCCCTGGAGAATCGGAAAAGCACCTGGAGTTACTGGCTTCCCCTTTACCTCTTCCATCCACCTTCCTTCCACATAGTAGTGCTCCTGCGTTGCACCTCACATTTCAGAGGCTCAAGTTGCCACCACCACAGGGATCTTCTGAGAGTTGCACAGTCAACATCCCACAACAACCAACCGGAAGTCTGAGCATCGGATCACCAAACACTGCCTTTATTCCTGTCCATAACACAGGTAGTTTCCCAGGACCTCCTGTTGCTACCACGGACCCCATCACAAAATCTGCATCCCAAGTGGTAGGACTAAATCAAATGGTGCCTCAAATTGAGGGAAGCACAGGGACAGTCCCTCAGCCTACCAATGTGAAGGTAGTTCTTCCAGCAGCTGGCCTCTCAGCCACACAGCCACCAGCTTCCTACACCTTACCAGGCTCCCCGCTTGCTGCCAGCGTGTTGCCCAACCAAAACTCCAGTGTGCTCAACACAGCAGCAGCTTCTCCTCAGCCAGCGAGCGCAGGCATCAGCCAGGCCCAGGCCACCGCTCCTCCCGCAGTTCCTACCCATACCCCAGGCCCTGCCCCGAGCCCCAGCCCTGCTTTGACACACAGTACTGCACAGAGTGACAGCACATCTTACATCAGTGCTGTGGGGAACACGAACGCGAATGGCACAGTGGTGCCACCACAGCAGATGGGCTCAGGGCCTTGTGGTTCTTGCGGGCGCAGGTGCGGCTGTGGGACTGGTGGAAGCCTCCAGCTGAACAGTTACTACTACCCTAACCCGATGCCCGGACCCATGTATCGAGTCCCATCATTCTTCACTCTGCCATCCATTTGCAATGGCAGCTACCTCAGCCAAGCACATCAGAGCAATGGAAACCAACTTCCTTTTTTTCTGCCTCAGACTCCATATGCAAACGGACTGGTACATGACCCTGTCATGGGGAGCCAAGCCAACTATGGTATGCAGCAGATGGCAGGATTTGGGAGATACTATCCTGTATACCCAGCACCTAACGTAGTTGCCAACACCAGTGGTACGGGGCCCAAGAAGAATGGGAACATCTCATGTTACAATTGTGGTGTAAGTGGACACTATGCACAGGACTGTAAGCAGTCGTCCATGGAGGCCAATCAACAAGGTAATCCCAATAACTCCCAGAGGACTTGTTTTTGAGTTCTCCTGTTTCTCCTTCCTTTCCTTATTGATCATGGGATTCTGTTGTAGCAGAAAGATCTGTGTGTGTGTTTGTTTACGAGTATTGTGTTTTCAGTGACAAACCATAAAAATGCAATAGGGAAAACCTAGTGTAGACCCAGGTCACACAGAGCACAAGGAAGTTCAGAGGAGTTCAGTTTCCAGTTAAGGAATAAATTCTAAAGGCACTTTTCAAGGAATGTAATGGGAATTTGTGTTATGTAATGTCAAATCTCGTACAGCACTTTTTTAAAGCTACAATCCTGTTTCACAGAGTAAAAGCAAAATTTTTAAATAGTGAAAAACTAGGAAGTAATCTAGTGATCTGACATTAGGTTTTGAGTAACTGTTTCGCGTGTCTGCATAACCAGCTGGCCTCACGCCTATTCCCCATGCTGCTCTTTTCCTTCCCAGCAAATGTTTAAAAAAAAAAAAATCCAAGATTGTATTGCATTTTACAGGAGTAAAAATAGTTCAGCACTGATTTGGGCGTAAGGGACTTTGAACTAAGGTTAATATTACTACCACCAGAAAGAAGAAGATGCTCTTACATATGAGTAAGATTTCAATTCAGTGTCAAACTCAAACTCTTATTTTCACTTGCATTTGGCCTTTGTCATTTTGCCAGATCTTACTCAGAAAAAAAAAAGTCTTGAATTGAGAGTATATTACACTTGGCATTCTTAAGGGAAGATCAAGTTTGATAGCTTTAGACTGAACTTAAAGCACAAACTCCTGTTACTTTTTAAGTGATCTGATTGACTCTCTGGTGTGGCCCTAGGGCTGACGAAGGTGCCTTGACGCATGCCCATGTGATATCTTGTACGTGGTGGTTTGTGATGACGTTTCCTTGTAAGCGGTGACTTAGCGGTTCTGTCTTTCCCGTTTTAGGCACTTACAGACTGAGATACGCACCTCCCCTCCCCCCTTCTAATGATACGTTGGATTCTGCAGACTGAAACAAGTAAAGCTTGCCTACTTAATACTCTCAAGTGTGGGGAGTTATGGGGTGTGGAGGGGAGGAAAGGAAAGGTATTGGTTTGTTTCTTTGTCTATACATTTCCTAGATTTCTATGCAGTTGGGATTTTTTCATTTCTCTTGTACCAATGTCCAAAACAAAAAAGAATGCAGTGCTTTTGAGCCTCTAGTCTCCTGGTTCAACAACAGGCTTATATGTATGATATATGTGATTTAAACTTTCAGAAAAACTATCAAAAAGAAAGTGTTTATGCGTGCTTTTTTTTTTTTACACTGAATACTTGCTGTGTGCAATGTTTACTGAATCTTTAAACTGTGTATTTGACCTATTTTTACAACACCGGTGACAGTCATATGGTTCTGAAAACAAGAAACTTTGCTTCTTCCCCAGCTTTTCTCACTTTCACCCTAAACTAAACTACACTTTCTCCCCAGCCACCCTCACTCTCTCCCTGGCCTGCGGCAGGAGAGGCCAGCAGTGTACTTGTCCCCACTTGTGTAACCTGCTCTGCATATAAACCAAGGGCAAAATGTTTCACCTTAATCTCATGGGAGAAATCAAACTCCCACAGTAGTATGTATATATGTAATAAACAGCATCACGTAAGTACATATATGCAGTGCCTGTTGTCCAAATAAAAATGAAAATAAGTGGAAGAGAGAGGAAGAAGTCAAACCATATGAGACTGAAAACATGACGTTTGAAATGGGCAAAAAGCTTTTTCTTAAAAAAAAAAAAAGTTTTACTTCTATCATACTTTTTTAGCCTGTTGCTTCAGAGAGACACAAAGTGAACACACCGGTGTGAATGTTGTTCTCTGTGTGCTTGTGTTTGTAATGAAAGTCGACGGCCAACTTTACTTGTCCTCTACCCCCGTGCTAGCTACTACTGTGTCATGTTCAAAGAGACACTACTTGAGTAAAGATTCTTCTTTTCCTATACCAACTGTTACAGTGTTACATTGTGTTTAAAGTGTGTATGTTTTATTGCAATCTGAACAGAAGCTGTGGGTTTCTACAAAAAGTCAGGTATTTGTTCCCTAACCTGTCTCTTGTAGCAAAGTCACTTTTTATAACAGTTTACCACTATGCTTGATTATAATGTGAAAGACTGAATTCTGAGTGTGTTAAGATGGTATTAATCATGTCAGTGTCATGTCACTAAGTTTAATGCTGCTGTTTTAAAAAATTTTTTTAAAAGCCAATCTATGTACTAAATTGCTTCCAGGTAATTTTTGATTTCTTAAAGTGCACTGAGGTTATCTGGAAGATTGGGTGTACTTTTTGGTGACTGCTGCATTGAACAACTACCACTGTATAGTCGTAGGTTTAAGGGATTGGGGGGCCCATTGTTTCGTTCCTCAGCACAGAGCAGAAATGATAGGCTTTTGTTGTGTGGAATAACGTTAGGATGCAGCAGAGGAACTTTACATATTTGGTCTCGGTTCAGAAGCCTAACAGATTGCTAGACAAGAGAAAAAACTTGAAGAAAAAGAAGCTTAACTTAATGCTTCATAAGTAGCATTTATATTTATAGCACCAATGTACATTTTGAAACTTTCTTTCAGGGGTGGGAGTTACGGGGAAGGGGCAGGGGTGGGTGTAAAGGGGTAGAAGAAAGCTTTAATTTAGAAAGAAAATTTGAGTAAAGGAAATTATTTTGATTAAATATATTTTATTTGATCTGGGTATTTTTGGACCACATTATTAAATTAATTGTTAAGCTGCAGTTGAGTTGTTCAAGTGAGAGTTTTGATAAGCCACGTATGGACCGCATTGTGAATCACTTGCCAGTTGTACTTTATGGAGCTTATTCTATGATTTAAAATACTGTACTGTACATAGGAGGTGTGTTACCTTCTCCTTATTTGTATGTTTACCATATACTTTGATATTTGAAATGTTATGTACTGGAAAGGCCACTTATATTTCTAGAACAGATTGGATTTTATGCAACCTTTTTTCCTTGAATTAACAGCAATAAAAAAAAGAAAAACAACTTAAGAATTGTGCCTTATTGCAAATTATGTAAAAGTGAAAGCTAGAATATTATACTGGTGACTTTTTTTTTTTAAGGGATCATCTGATTTCCCTGCGGTGTGGGCAGTGAATACCATAGTTGTTTACCGTCTGAGTGTTCTTCAGTTGTTCCCTAGTGACCTTAATGTATAGGTCATCTGTGTGACCCCAGGAAGGATCGCGTCTCCGCGTGTGTTGACATGTGCCACAGGCTGCAGTGGAGGCAAGATGGAGTCCTTATCAGCCCAGAGCTTGTGTTTCCAGTTCAGGCCTCCCCAGAAAGTGTAACGGGCCCAATTACTTTCTCACATTTGTTAATAAGATTCTGTTAGCCGGGCAGCTGTCTCAAGACAATATTGAATATCTTTTATTTCACTGATTCTCTCTTCAAGTTCCAGTTGTAAAACAATTGCTGGGAGGCGGGTGTGTTGCTCTGCCTTCCCTGGATCCCAGCGCAGCCACAGGCTCACCAGGGCTCACGCCCTCAAGGTGCCTACTCCTGTTTGGAGCCCTCTCGTGACTCTCTGCATCTGTTGGGTCAGTGAGTTTGAAGTGATTACAGATTCTCTGATTGTCTCCAGGGCACCAGCTTTCCTTGGAGCCAACAAATACCTATCCGTATGTTACATGTGTAAGTCATGAACCCAACCTCAGATGAGCTAGAATGTCTCCAGTGTCAGTGACCCATGTTCCTCACCTGTCCCATCTCCTTCCCCAGCTACACCAAGGGAACCACTGTAAATTGTACTGGTCTTTTGCTCTGGGGTTTTTTTCCCCTTACGTTGTGTTCCTACAGTTTATTCATATTCACTACCTTATAATAATCTCATTGTTAGGGAACAGAATATAGACAAATAATTTATTCTGTCCACGGACATTTGGATGGTTTTCAGTTTTTTGCTGTCAACAAACAAGGCTGCTAGGAACATTTGTGTCCTGGTCTCCTGGTTCGTGTGTGCAGAGTTCTCTACGGGATTAACCTGGGAGTGCAGTGACTGGGTTGGAGGTCATGCAGACATTCACGCGGCCAAAATGTGCCATATTGTTCACCAGGTGACACAGCAGCAGTAGACCAGGGATCCCTGAGTTCCTGTCCTGACCCTCTTCCGATAGGGTGTCATCGTGGAACACTAGACCAGGGACACACATGGGCAGCCTAGATATTTTTGGAAGGCCCCATGACAGAGGCGAGCCTGGAGAAGCCTCCAGTGTGGGCAGGGTCGATGGTCGCCCCGTGGGGAAGGGGATGCATGCTGGGCAGGAGACGCGTGAACAGGAACAGAAATGACAGCAGAGTACAGCGGGGGAAAGGGACAGATACAGCAGTCGTTGAGAGAGCGTGTGTTTTAAAAGAGTTCTGGTGTGTGGGTGCAGTAGGGAAGATGGAATCAGACTGGAGAATGTGGAATCGATTGAAAAACGGGAAGTTACTAAGTTTTCAGTAGAGGAACAACATGTTGACACCTGCGGAAATCATTGGACGATTGAGGAAAGAGAAATCACTGGAAGTCGAGAGACAAGTTAGGGGAGGCCAGGAGGAGGGTCTGGCCTAAGGCACTGGTCATGGGAACAGCCAGTCTCAGGAAGAATGGCTTGGGAATGCCTGTTTAAAGAGAGAGGGGAGAGACAGGTAGAAGGAACCTTGAGGCTCTGAACTTCATCTTCCGTAGATGTAAGATGAGGTTGTATATTTTAAATGATGGCTCTGAGGGTGAGACGAAATAGTATCTGAGAAAGGCTCAAAACTGAGAAAGGTTCAAAACAATACTGTCTTAAGAGACAAGACTAGGGAAGAGAATGTATTCACCTAGGAGTTCTTTGGGTGGTGAGGAACCTAGCAAGCATGGTTCTTTATTCATTAAGGCAGTTTATTTAGCTCTATGCACTGACAGAAGATAAAAGGTGTTCCTTGCCTTTGCAAATTAAGCCTAGTTGGAGAGCTTACCCGTTAATGGTAGACATTGAACTCTATGTCCAAGCTGAATCGTGCCATCCCAATTAGTACCAAAGCAAAGTTTGTTGCAACACAAATCCACATTTAATATTTTTATGTAGGGCCAGGCTCAGTGGCTCACACCTGTAATCCCAGTACTTTGGGAGGCCAAGGCAGGAGGCTTGCCTGAGCCCAGGAATTCGAGACCAGCCTAGGCAACATAAAAAGAGACCTTGTCTCTACAAAAATTTTTTTTAAATTAGCTAGGAGCCGGGCTCGGTGGCTCAGCCTGTAATCCCGCGCCTCTGGGAGGCTGAGGTGAGTGGATTGCCTGAGCCCGTGGGTTCGAGACCCGCCTGGACAACTTGGCAAGACCTCATCTCTACAATAAATAAAAAAAATCAGCTGGGCGTGGTAGCACATGCATGTAATTCCGGCCACTGGGAAGCCTGAGGCGGAAGGCTCGCCGGAGCCCAGCAGGTCGAGGCTGCGGTGGCCGGGAGCGGCCGCTGCACTCCAGTCTGGGTGACCGAGTGAGACTCCAACTCAAAAAAATAAAAAAATAAAAAAAATTAGCCTAGGTATGGTTGGAATGTGCCTATATTCTCAGCTACTCAGGAGGCTGAGGCAGAAGGGTCACCTGAGCCCAGGGGGTCCAGGCTGCGGTGAGTTGTGCCACTGTCCCAGCCTGGATGACAGAGCGAGACCCTGGAATGAGAAAAACACGTATGTGTGTAAGCAATAAAAGTCAATTATTTCTGAGAAGGTTCCAAAGAGGTCAAAGAAAGCACACTGTAAAATTTCTTTTTTTTCTTTTTTTAACAGGTAGCACCATTTGAGCTTGGAAGACACCTTTTTTCAGTTCTACATACTGATTACAAAAGCATCCTAAGGTTAAGGCAGTGAAACGTAGAGGCAAGCTGCGACAGTAGTTCAACTCATAAGCCTTTCACAACTGCATCTCCAAAGAATAAAGAAAAAACACAAACCCCACTCCACCCCACTCCACAAAAAGGGCTCATTTATTTTCAGAGAACTAAGTTTTGAGGTGTGGGGTGCTCTGACTCGAAACGTGGTCATCTTCATCTTCTCTTCAGGGGGTGAGACCAGCTGTTAAGAAAACTTAGGGCTTCTGAGGGTGGAGAGGCAGGGGTCCCAGGATGGGGGGTGGTCTGTTTTCTCAGCAGTGGTGCCATAGCCCCTTCAACTTGAACGCTTGCAGAGGGAGGGCAGGGCAGGACAGGGCAGGCCGTGATGGACAACCCCGGGTTTTCCCCAGGATGCCCGCTAGCTTGCACGGCTTGGATTCCTAAGGTCAATCTAATATCAACACTTCGTTAACACTGCCTACAAATCACAAGTGCTGTGCCTCTACGTGCAAAAAAACCTTTTCTTTGCCGCATATCCCTAAGATAAATTTATCTACTTCTTAAATGCTGTCCTCTGTTGAAAACTGGAAGCCCGCTAGCTTGAGCACAGGTGCACATCACCTGAAATCTGTGTGGACGCAAATGTTTCCCCGTCTTGGAAGCACAGGGCCGTCGGGCTCCCTCTTCCCTGTTTCTGGAACAACGGGGGGCCTGTCACAAGACCCTTCCCGAGGGCAGTCACCCCGGTCCCCAGAAGCTCTTAATCCCAAGATCTGGTCGTGCTCTTTGAAATGTGAAGCTGGGAGGTGGGGCCAGGTGGGGGGTTGGGTGGTTCTTCATTGTTTTTCTTTTTCCCCTTGCAGCTCCAATCGGATCGGCTGTAAAAAGGAGTTCCTCAGCCGGCCTCTCCCCAGAAGAGATTGCTCATGGGGAAGCAATGCCGCCTGGTGGGAGACAAGGACAGTGCAAGCAAGCAGATGTTATTTCCTACTGACCTAATTTAGAGAAAGTTAAACGTAAGAGAGAAAGCATTTGGGATTGGAAGCCTGTGCCCAAAACCGTAAAGAATGCAGGCAGCTGGCCATGAGAGCAACGTGAGCGCTCTTCTCGTTCACCTGTCGAAGTCTAAGTGTATGCCAACAGCGTAAAGCCCCAGATGGCACTTGACAGTGTCCTGTGCACTTTCCCTCTGTGTTCATCTGGTCATCACTGCTGTGAAGGGGATGGGCTCTTCCTCCTCCTCTTATGGGTCAGGAAATTTGGGGTTTGGCGAGATTAAGTGCCGCAGACAGGCCCCGGCCCCAACTTGAGAGGACACCTCCTCTGTGCCCTGCTTTCCTGCCCCACAAGTGCTTCTGTGGTGAGCCAGGGGCTGTGGCCCTTTAAAACTGAAATGATAGCAACACACAGACGTAGCCACCGCGTGGCCCCTGGATTCTTAAGAGGGCTGACCTAGGTCGTGGGCATGCCTGGAGGGGCTGAGCTAGGTCGTAGACACGCCTGGAACACAGGCCACATCCTTGCCGATTGGGATGTCTCCTCTCTGTGTCTCTCTTGAAGGCTCAGAAGACACAGAGTGGGGAGAAGTTTCCAGAGACAGGAAACGTAAGGACTTTAAATGTCTCAGATAGATTCAAGGAGCGTCAGTGCTTGATAGCAGATTTTAAACATGCACAGATACCCTCAAAAGTTTTTATTATCCCTGTGAGTCTTAAATCGAGCATGACTTGAATATTCATTTTAAGATTTCAGAAATTAAGAATGAAAGAAGTAGTGGGAGAAGCAGAAAGGACAACACAGCTGATGTGTATAAAGCTTTGACGTCCACGTAGATTGTCACAAGCACCCCTTCTGCCAACTGTCACCTCCCGAAACACTCTGAAGGCAAAGGATGACAGGGGCAAAGTAGCCTTCACACAAAAACGGTGTCACCCAGCCCCCCCTGCAAGCCGTGCTCAGCGCTAAGAAGGCCACCCCGCGCTAGTGCTCATTCCTGGCAGCACACTGGAGTTCGGTCATGTCTGTCACATTGTGCCTTGGACGCCTTGGTTAAAAAAAAATGAGAGGCGGCACCCACCCACGCTGCTGACACGGGGATGGTAATACTCTCTTTGTAGAATGTTTGGATTAACTTTAGCAAAATACATACAAGCACACGATGTCTGACCCACAGTTGGCGCTCA